CTCCTCATGAGGCCTAGCGGGATTTATTATGCTACCTTCCCAAACTCACCTCATTCCCAATGCTACTATAATACCCTGCTGGCTGTGTCCTCCCTCTCACCACAGCTGGAATCTCCTGGGATGCCTGGCATGAGTACCAGTGCCAGGTTTAAAGACCAATCATGCACCCAGTCAAGCACCGCCAGTCCAGAGATGCCCTGCATGGTTTATGTGAATTGCCACAAACGTGTCGGACTTGGGGAAATTGGAGCCTTGCTTTGTTGACATGAACCTGGAGGTCCTGGTCAATGGAGTGATGAAGAGGTGGGCAATCATCTTTGCTTAGCATTGGCAGAGGAGACAACACCATCAAAAGCTACCAGTTTAGTCTGACATTACTACCCAGATCAGTGCTATTTCCACATCCTAGAGCAATGGCCACAATGTAGGAAGAAGATCAATGACCTTCTCCAATCCACCAGGATAATAGTTCACACTCTTCTATTTCTTCTATTACACCCACCTCCCACCAAAGCTCATGCTCTACCACTCCCTCTATCACATGTAATATCTTCCTCCCCTCACTCTCTCTTCCACTCAATTACCACTACCACCCCCCCCCCCCACCTCCCCACACTACTAATCCTACAGGACCTCTGAGCTGCCTACTCATTCACTCAGGTCACCTCAGTCCCTTTCCCTTACCTGCACCAGCGCTAACAACTGTGCCAGCCACTTTCATCTTACTAATCCCTCCTTTGCTTCATTTAAGGAACCAATCACAAGGTTTTCTTGAGTGAAAGGAAGAGCAATTTCCTTATCTGCCAAGCTAAAGAGAAGATGCAAAGTCAAACAGATAGACACTTAGGCACCGGAGTTGAAAGGGTTGAAAAATGCATTGTGTCCCGTACAAAAGAAAGATAAAAGAAGTGTACAGTTTAAAATCCTTACGGGTGTCCTTGAGGCGTAAATGGTTTAACCTAAGACCACAGTTGTTTAATTGATATGTCTAAGGAGTGGAGAATATTTCACATCTCTTTAAGTTTAGAATGTCTGGATGTTTTTATCTAATTTGTATTGTTACCAATTGTTTTGTCCTTTGACAGACCATGAGAACCAGCTGGTTCCAGTCATGAATCATCTCCTTATCTCTGCCAAAAGTAGGTTCCTGAAATAGAAATAAATGCAATATTACGCATTCCATTTTCTGATGTCATTGCCTGCAACTATCAAGCCTGGAAACAATGTCTCAAATCTCCGATATGTAAACTTACCATATGGGTGGAAATCAAAATAGGAGATGAGGATATCTTCGTGTCTGACTGGGTGGCAGATGATTCTGTTCATTCCACATTGATCTCATGAACATTGACTAACCCATATGGTTAGCTGATTCCTCTGGCCATTTTAAGTCGATATTTTTCCTTTTTAAAACCTTTTCAGTCCTTGGAATCCCAGATATTAAAATCAGATAATAGAATTTGAAAATCAGTGGTTCATTTTTTTTAGCAGTATCATGGCATCATTTCATTTATTTTGGTGGTTGTGATTTAGGAAAAATGTTGCACAGGACATTTGGAAAATTCCCTGCCTCTCCTTTAATATTGCCATGCAAAATTTAACAAGCAGCTTACGCACACTGGTACAGGCAGTGACAAGCTCAATTTCATGTTTTGTACCATGAATAAGGAACGTAGTTAATTTATTTTTCCTTCCATAACCTGAAAGTAATAAGACCAATGGTTGTGGTCCAAGCAAAATGGGTTAGTTCAAACTCTGGACCACAGGTTGAACCTTGGAGCTTTCTGTGATGATATGGATGTCTGTCCTTCCTGTCAATGGGATTCATGGATTGACCAAGAATTGATAAGACGTGAGAAAAGTAAAACCATGCATCCTGCAGTGGATGGAATTGTCTTGCTTTTTCTGCTGCTGCAAATCTTTAAACAATGTGCACAATGATGTCAATCTTATATTCAATATTCAGATATGTGCAGCAACTGATTTGTCCTGTTTCAGAAATGGTGCACAGGGAGATAGTGGTGTTGTGGTAATGTCACTCGACAAGCAACCCGTAGTCCAATCCTTGACAGCCAACACCACCCCCCCTTTCCCGTGGCATCTTCTCATGTAACCGCAGAAGGTGCAACACCTGCCCCTTCACCTCCTCCCTGCTCACCATCCAAGGGCCTAAACAGTCTTTCCAGGTGAAGCAGCATTTCACCTGGACCTCCTCCAATCTTGTGAATTGTATCCGCTGCACCCCAATGTGACCTACTTTACACTGGAGAAACTAAACGCAGACTTGGTGACCACTTTGCAGAACACCTCTGGTTTGTGCACAAGCATGACCCCGACCTTCCCATAGCTGATCATTTTAACACAGCGCCCTGCTCACATGCCCCACGTGTCTGTCCTCGGCTTGCTGCAGTGCTCCAGCGAATCACAGTGCAAACTGAAGGAACAACATCTCATCTTCAAACTAGGAATTTGCAATCTTCTGGGCTGAATGTTGAGTTCAACACCAACAAATCGTGAATGCATTTCCATTCCTTTCCTTTCTTTTAGTTTTACTTGTTACATTCTCTGTCACCATGTCCTCTCTCCCCTCCCCTCACTCCAGTGGGACTGACTGTTCTTGCAAGTCTGGCAGTTAGACAACCCATTGTTCTGCCATTATCACATTCTGATCGCTTAATCTGCACTTTCCCCAACTCTTCACACCCACCATCCCACTATGGCATAAAGGCTGCCCCCTCCACATTTCACATCAACTTGAAACATTAGCTTGCTCTCTCTCCAAGGATGCTGCCTGACCCGCTGTGATTTTTTTTTTGGTTTCAATCCAGAGGACATAGCTATGGGGCAGAGGTTCATATCCCACCACTACAGCTGGTGGAATTGAAAGATTTATCTCTGTTATGGTGACCATGACAGCTATCATCAAAGTGCAAGGGTATTTGTGCTGCAGTGGTAGTGTCCTTACCTCTGAGCCAGGAAACCTGGGTTTCAGGTGTGTAATCTCCGAACAGGTTGATTAGAAAATATCCAGAAATGATGCATCTAAAAATGGTGAGAGGATGAAAGTGAAAACAGATGATGGTTCTCAATAAGCACAGATTTGATTTTGGGAATTAAGATTGAAGAATAACAGGCCTGTGAAGTGCCAGAATTTTGGAGTATCAACTTTGGCTTAGTGGTAACACCCACTTCAAAATGAGAAGGTTTTATGAGCAAGCCCCACTTTGGAAACTTGAGCGGATGATGCACTGAAGGAGTAATGTGCTGTTGTGAGTTTCTGCTGATATTCTACATATATACTGGTCTGGGCCTGGTATTTGTTTATATTCATCCAGATGCTTTTGGAGGGTGATGAAAAGTACTTTTCAAGTTTGATTTGTAGTTACAATGGAGTTACTTATTAACCATACACGTTTCAGCCAAATTCAGATATTGAAATCCAGGTTTTTTAGAAAGGGTTGTTTGCAGTTGGCTTATATGTAATTTGTATTACAAATTAAGAAAGTTTTTTTTACAGTCATTGAGATATACAGCACAGAAACAGACCCTTCGGTCCAACTCATCCACGCTGACCAAATATCCTGGATAAACCTAGTCCCATTTGCCAGCATATGGCCTCTAAACCCTTCCTATTCATATATCCATCCAGATGTCTTTTATATGTTGTAATTGTAATAACATTCTTGGTCTACACTAACTGGGGAGGACAATATGAAAATTTCTATCTCAGAGTCTAGAGGGAGTGAAGTGTGGTAGATTTCTTCGGTAATCCAGTGGGAAGGGGAGATGGCGGATTGCTTAAAATGGATCTTGAGCATGAAGTAATAATTTGTTTGCAGCATGATGTGGCGTGGATGGGATGTGACCATTCTCTGATCATCAGGACAAAGAATGAGTTCAGGTTATTCAGACTATCAGATATAAATTTATACCATCAATGTTGAGGTGTTTGGAATACAAACCAGGAGCTCAAATTGATTTTGATAGTGATCCCTAGAAGTTGCACTGTTATTTCTCTGCTTCATCGCCTGCTTTCACTCCCTCCAAACCTTGGTTATATTCTGCAGTGTCAGATACTGAAGTGCTTATCAATAAACCATTATTGTCAGTCATCCCTACAATATTACTCAGAGCTGTCAGCTTGGAATATTTGAGTTTGTGTTTACGTTTGAGTGACTCAACATATGTAAGAAAACCTATCAAAACAGCCAGCTTTAAATACCTGACTGTATATGAGATAATAGTTGTATTTAAAATCATTGCTCTGAGCAACTGGATGGAAGAACATTAAAAGAAAATGAGGTACTTTGGAAGGATACTTTCCTGACAACCCTGTGTGCATGGGCCGCAATGAAAAAGCAAATGGTGTGATTGGCAATGCGATAAAACAGTTCAGCTTGAAATCTTGCGAGCTCTTGTTCTCTTTATGTGACGAGTTCAACTGACTGATCCCTGTCAGAGGGAAATCAAGGGCTCTGTTATCAGAATATTCAGCTTGTTTCCTGCTTTAACCTATCAATGCAACAGCTGGAAATGCTGACAACACTGCAGTACTCAATCACAGGCTATAATCAAATATTTATCAATTAATTGATCTCTGGTATTTTCCTAAGTAGCACAATTGAGATTTGCTGAAATGCTCTGTGTACTAATGGTATGCTTTACAAAGCGGTATTATTTTATAAGAGCTATGCTCATCAGTTGCAATAGTCGTTTTCAGAACAATGTGCTCATATATTTGGTAATTATTAAACCTTACCAATTTGGGACAATAAGCGCTGACTGACTTTAGACCCTGAGGGATTCCAGGAACATTTTTGCTCCTGGCCTCACTTGGGAATTCAGTAGTTTGGAATATTACAGTTCTTTTCTAAAGTTCACTGGCAAATGTTTCTTGCAAAATAGGATGATGAATATCTCTGCACACACAGTATATAAACTAAGACCAAAACCATTTTGACTCTGAGAAATGTTATAAATTTGTCCTGTGTTCTTTTCAGGGTAACCAAGAAGCCACAGCCCCTCCGGAAGCGATGGCACAGCCCTACCCCCCTGCCCAGTACCCTGCGCCACAGAACGGAATCCCAGCGGAATATGCTCCAGCACACCCGCACGCTACTCAGGACTATGCTGGACAGACCACGGTACCAGAGCACGCCATGACGATTTACACACCAACACAGACGCATTCCGACCAGCCTTGCACTGATGCAAACACACAGTCCTTAACAGGCACATCTACAGTACCGGTAAGTGCCAATTGTGAAGGGCATGGACACACTGGACAGTCAGAAGCTTTTTCCCAGGGTGGAAGAGTCAGTTACTAGGTGGCATAGGTTTAAGGTGCGAGGGGCAAGGTTTAAAGGTGATGTACAATGCAAGTTTTTTACACAGAGGGTGGTGGGTGCCTGGAACTCGCTGCCGGGGGAGGTAGTGGAAGCAGATACGTTAGTGACTTTTAAAGGGCGTCTTGACAAATATATGAATAGGATGGGAATAGAGGGATACAGTCCCCAGAAGGGTAGGGGGTTTTAGTTGTGACAGGCAGCATGTCGGTGCAGGCTTGGAGGGCCGAAAGGTCCTGTTCCTGTGCTGTAATTTTCTTTGTTCTTTTTGTTCTTTGTGCCCAGTTGGTCCTGGTTCTGTTAATGGGCCGAACATGAGTTGTGAGCCCAAAACAAATCCTTTTTAAGAAAACTGAAGTTCATTTTGAAACAATGAAAAATATCCTCACTCAGAGATGAGTTGGACAGTCTGTTACCACACTTTTCTTGCAATCTCTGAGGAGCTCCCCTCTAAGCACTGGCTGGATCTCTCCGATGCTTGCTGCTGCTAGGTGGGGGAAGAAGGGAAAGAGGGAAGCTGTGGAGCATGGGATGGTGAGAGAGAAGGCTGCTGAGAGGGAGTCTGGAGGGTGTAAGGAAGATGCGAGGTGAACTGGGAGAGAGAGACAAGCTGTAAAGAAAGTGAACAAGTTTTTAGCCTCTCAACTCGGGGAAATTCGGCTAATTAGGAGCCAGGAAAACTTGAATTCGCTGAGGCAATTAATTCCTTGCAAATGAATGTGGAATGTCTAGCTTAAGGTCGCGTATGATCAGGTGGTATAAGAAGTGAGGAAAAAGTGATGAATATTATTGAAGTGAACCCTGCATCATTTAAATCTGAGATGCAACAATAAGTACAGTAACTGCCAACTTTCCAGCTTTGTGGATATGTGAAGGAAATTCATGAGTTGTGATCTCATGAAGGCATGTTTAAGGTGATGGTTTTTTTATGTGCAGAATTGTGTCAGATATTTTTGAAAAGAAAAGTTTGTTAACTTCTGCCTGTAGTCTTGAGCCAACTTGAATAATTTGGTGTCTGAAAAATTGACGTGAAATTAGTTTTGTGTTGTTGCTAATTATCAAGGATATTGGTGTATTTGTCTAATTCTCCTTTTGTTTGAGCCCAAATACTCATATGTCAATACAAACACAACTGCACCACTGAACAAATGTATTAGTGAGAATAACAAAGTTGCCTTCAAATAAAAAAGTAGCACTTGAGAAAATCTCATTGAGAACCGTGGGGTGGTGGGAGATTATTTTGATCCCTATTGACAATCCTGAAGGATGTGAGAAGGAGAGTTAAAGATGTGGGTGGTGGTAGTAAAGTTGGAAAGTAAGGGACCTGGAAGCAGGAGAAACACTGAGCCCTGTTATTTTTCTCCATAATCCCAATGACAGGGTAAGTGAAACTCTGACTTGGAGTTAACTTACAACATTGCGGCCCAAAATATGCTGGCAACGTCTCATCATATCAGTTGGTAAAACGTCTGTGTACTCGAACATAATAATGCACAAACACACTAAAAATAATTCTGCCCTGTATATGATCTTTAGCACCAATATGAAAAGGTACAGTATATAATGGTTCATCCAGCCTGGTACTGATTGGAAAGAAAGATCTACAGACATTGAATCTAAATCATGATTCAGCAACTGGGAAATACAAATTAATTAATTTCATTAAGTTTAAAATAAAAATTTCACATCAGTAATGGCGACCATGAAACTGTAATGCTGTTGTAAAGATTTATTTGCTTTGTGAGTGTCCTTTAGGGAAGGAAATCTGTTGCCATCACCTGGTTTGGCCCACAGCTGTTTGAAATGGCCAAGCAAACAATTGAATTGTATTAGAACATGGAACAGTACAGCACAGTACAGGCCCTTTGGCCCATGATATTGTGCCGACCTATGATCCTACTACGATCAATCTACCCTGCATACCCTACATTTTACTATCCTCCATGTGCCTATCTAAGAGTCGCTTAAAAGCCTCTAAAGTATCTGACTTCATTACCACTGCCGGCAGCACATTCCACACGCCCACCACTCTGTGTGAAGAACTCACCTCTGACATCTCCCCTATACCTTCCTCTAATCACCTTAAAATTACGCGCCCTCGTAATAGTCATTTCCGCCCTGGGAAAAAGTCTCTGACTATCCACTCTATCTATGCCTCTCATCATTCAAGAAGATGGCTCATTACTTCTTTCTCAAGAGCAATTAGGGAAGAGCAATAAATACTGGTCTTACCTGCAAGGCTCACATCTCTTTAAAGGATTAAAAAGATAGACAAAGTGCAATTTCTTTTTTAAATGAGGCTTGTATGTATCAAGAATGTAGCCTCAAAAATACCATGAATATAAATTCACAGCACTGCAGAGAAAATGCACTGTCCAGTAAACTTTCTTTCATATATTGTGTGCTGTTTGTAGGAGTATTGTGCTACAACCAAGTTTCAAGTGAATGATGAGGGTTTCACAAGTGTGGTTGTATTTGGAGTCAGACAGCACGGAAACAGACCCTTTGGCCCAACTCGTCCATGCTGACCAGATTTCCTAAACTGAACTAGTCTCATTTGCCAGCATTTGGTCCATTTCCCTCTGAACCCTTCCTATGCATATACCCATGCAGATGCTTTTTAAATGTTGTAATTGTACTCACTTCTATCATCACCTCTGGCAGCTCAGTCCATACATACTACCGTCTGTTTGAAAATGTTGCCCCTCAGGCCCCTTTCAAATCTTCCCCCTGTCACCTTAAATCTGTGCCATCTAGTTTTGGACTCCCTACCCTGGGGACGAGACCTTGGCTATTCACCTTAAGTATCCCCCTCATGATTTTATAAACATCTATAAGGTCACCCCTCAGCCTCTGACCTTCCAGGGAAAATATGTTCCAGTCTAACCATCCCTTCCTTATAACTGAAATCCTCCAGTCTCTGTAACATTCTTTTAAATCTTATTTTTGCACCCTTTCCAGCTTAATAATATCCTTCCTACAGAAGAAGGACCAGAATTGTACGCAATACTCCAAATGTGGTCTTACCAATGTCTGATACAGCTGTAACATGACTTCCCAACTCATGTATTCAATGACTGATGAAGGCGAGCTTGCCAAATGCCTTCTCCATCTTTCTGTTTACCTGTGACACCATTTTCAAGGAACTGTGTACCTGCACCCCTAGGTCTCTCTATTCAACAGCGCTCTGCAGGGCTCTCCCATTAACTGTGTAAGTCCTGCCCTGAGATAGTAGGAACTGCAGATGCTGGAGAATCTGAAGAAGGGTCTAGGCCCGAAATGTCAGCCTTCCTGCTCCTATGATGCTGCTTGGCCTGCTGTGTTCATCCAGCTCTACGCCATGTTGTCTCTAAGTCCTTCCCTGGTTTGTTTTAACAAAATGCAGCGCCTCACCTTTATCTAAATTAAACTCCATGTGTCATTTACTGGCCAACAAGCCCAATTGATCAAGACTCCATTGTTCTATTTCATTTAGGACTGATGATTTTTAATGACAATGTTCCCTTAAATAGTTATTAGCCTATTCTTTCTCTCCAGCATCTTTGTATAGTTTTAAGTTGGTTACACTATTAATATGAGTTTAGAATTTAGCAAACAGATGGAATGCATTTATTAGCAATGATACTGCATTTGCCAGCTAAGTAAATTCATATTTTTTGCAATTAAATAATAAGAAAAGCTCACATTTCTTGGGTAAGAAGATTCTATTTCCAATGAGAACAAAGGGATTTCAAAAGATCGCTGTCTTGGTTAGATGTTTTAAGGAAATTGTTCCTGAAGTAGTCATAACATTTAATAGGTCAAATAAAGAACAGTTTGATAGAAATAAACTTTGCCAGATTTTCATAATGAATTTAACTTGATACTTTTGTTTTAAAAAATGCTGAACCCGTGCCAGTGAATTCATCATAAATTGACTGGATCTGACTATAAAACTGTTTCTGCAGTGCTGTGCCATGAGGGCATTTCTGGAAATCTGGCTCTCTGCTAATAATTTCAATTGTAGGCAATATATCCAAATGTCTATCAGCAGCAAAGTCATGTTCAGTGCAGGCTTATTAGGGAATATTAGAAATTTCAGTGTGGAAAAAAGCTATTTGGTCACCATATCTCTGTCAATGCTAGCTTTGCATTAGATTTAACAACCTGAATTTATTTTCTGCCCTGTCATAATTTTGGAGTTTAGATAACTCCCGATAAAATGCATTGATTTGGTTCAGCTTCTATTGTAACTTGACCGAATGCTTGTGTACTGTTACATTCTTTCACTTGCTAATGTGCTAAAAGGAGGAGAGCAAAGTGGTGGGGTGAGGCAAGATCTGGTCCTGGGCACAAAACTCGAGCAGCTGGGCTTTCTGATGCACTGATGTGGCTCCAGAGCATGGGACGTTTTTTAGCCCTGGAAGTCACACTGATTGACAAGTCTGGCTTCTCGTAAGGAGCCTCCGGTCTTGAATCCCTGGGGCTCCAAACCTTGGTCCCAGGTGGAGGAGGTGGTACCATTTCCACAGAGTCCTATCACAAACATTGATGAGGGAGGGTTGTATGGTGAAGGGAGTCTGGTAGTGAGGAAGCTTGGCATTCAAGAGGAAGTGTTTTGGTCCCTCCTGACCCTTGCTGGGCTGAGAAGGCACTTGTGTCCTGCTCAAACACTGTTCTCTCCTCAAAGCAGCTGCCACATTTCCCCAAAACTCCAGGAAAATCCAACTAAATATTGCGAATGAAGGCTAAATCAAAGCACAGTAATCTTAAGGAAGGGTTTTCAACCTGGAAAGCACAGTGAAAAATTTAATATAATGCAGTCTAAGACGATCGTGTTTCTTCAATGAATTCCCAATCATAAGTGATTGGTAGCAGAAAGGATGTAGTGTGATTTTAAATGAACGAGTTAACAAGCCAAACAA